GTCAAAGAAAGAACCATGCACTAGTTGCGCACGCCCAAAATTATGGCATACGTACTCCTCCATAGCTACGACGGTTGTTCGGTGTGACCTCCACGTCAAATGTTTCGTCGTCCCTCCCACCCTCCCAGATCACTTGTTGTTCAACAGACACACTGTCGTGTGTGTTGCGGGATGGACCACGCTCTCCGTTGAGCTCGTCCAACTCGCTTCCCAGCACCCACCACTGTTGAGCAACTAAGCATGATCTGACTTTGACAGTAGGGAAAATGTGATAACATTTACATGGGAAACTGATCTAAGAATGTATTCCAAACCATGTGAAAAAATTAAAATGAGTTTCCTCCGGGGGAGCATTAGAGGTTTCTGAGTGATTCTTCGATTATATATCGTCTCTGGTATGGCGTTTTTGGTTCAAAAATAATAGACTGAGTTCTGAGGGCTTGTGCGTAGGTATAAACTCCCGAAATGCGAGACTGTTCCGGTAGAGCCTCCACGCTTCAGTGGGCGGATGACGAACGATATTCGAGGTAATTTATTGAGTGATTTTTACGGTGACACTTGACTTGACAGATATCGAATTTTCCCATCCTAAGCGCCTCATTCCGGACAGGGATTACATCAGAGACCCGAACGACGTGTCCGACATTGAGTAGAATCTCGGGAAATTCACGGCGAAGATCTTCTGCGAATGCTCGAAGGTACGCGAGGACGAGGTCGGTCCAGGAGCAGTTGAACGACTTGATCAAAAGAGGAGCTCCGCGGCAGCTACGTACACAAGACTTGAGTTTGGTGACACACATCATGGTGACACAGTGGTGGACTGTCACCACCTCTCAGACGGCCAAGGACATCAATGCGGGCCCACTGGATGGAAGACTGCCAGCAATGAGAGGGACGAACCCTCTTGAGCCCACGTACATCATCTCGGCCAATTCAGTGGTGACACGAGGGAGACTACCCCCGGCAACTAGTCTCAATAACATATGTAGTAACGTCGTTAATTGAGTCAATGTAAGCCGTGGTGTAGGGGCAGAGGAAATCGGAAAAGTAGAGAAACCGACGATGGAACCAATGGTGAGTGGGGTCGATTTGAAATTTTTATGGTAGAAGAATTTCAGGTCATCGGCCAAGTGCCGCTTTCGAAGCCTCGGAAATTGCAATGGGATAATGGCGAACCGCTGTTCAGTCTGCTGAAAGAAGATATAGCCGGGACTTCTAGTCAGAGGTATGGCAGAGCATAGATCGAAAATTTGCGAGAATTTTGGCGGCGCCAGTGTTGGAATATGTGTTCACTTTCCTCACCTGAGCTTAGGAGTTTAATCACATATATAGATCCGAGTGGAAATATACAGGAATTATTGAGAACATCCCGGAATTTTCTCAGAAGTTCCACAATGTCACTAACATATGTGCTTGACCAAATGCATATTTTCTCATACTGTTTAGCGCTCAGATATGTCGGCAGCATCCCATTTAATATATATGGAGAACCTCTTAAGGGGAGGCCCGACTTCCACAGTAAACACCTTTGCCGCTTGTCAGTCGGCAGGACTTGTTCGTCGTGGTCAGGCACAAACGATATTCCGGGAGCGCAGGTGAACTCTCTCGTCAAGGGAATCGTCACTCGACGAAAATTGGATCCTCAGAACCCCAAGGTAGAGGTCGTTCGCGTTGGGAAGTTGCTATTTGTTGCTTTAGTATACTTTCCTTGACGGTAGCAAAGGATTTATACCAAAGAATTTGATGTGCGCTCGTCCAGCTACGGTAGGTCAAGCTCAGTAAACATGTTGTTCTCATGCGGTTCTGCTCAGGAAATTGTCTCTGAGGCCGAGCGCGGCTCGCCACCGAGGCTTTCCCCATCCATTGGAATGGAATTTTCTACTACCAGCAAAGTACCAGCAATAACTGTCAAGGTTAGAGGGGAGGAGTTTGATCGCGTTTTTATGATGAAGTATTTTTTGGAGCGTGGCTGCTAGGCACCTCCGGAGCACCAGCATGAAGCTCGTAGTGCTCGTCATAGTATAGTGACGGTGAGTACCCCGGGCATGACAGCAGCACAGAGGTGAGTACGTGCTGATGGAGTGGTGAACATCTTGTTCGTTCAGATTGGACCAGTTTATTACGCCAGGGCCCACCGCCCGAAGTTCACCTCCTCCCATGTAGCGCAGCATGCCATCTTATGATGTTTTACAAGATTAAATTTCCATCTTATTTGT